TATCGTCGTTATTATAATTATAACATATGATGCAACTCGCTATAGTAATATGTAAATAGTAGGAAGTGTGCTAGTAACGTGCTTCGTATTAAAGAAATAAGGCTGGGTACACACTGGACGACTTATAATCAAATCAAATTGAGATAAAAAATCACGACACGAGCGGGACTTGAACCGCACGTGTCAATCCACAGGATTTCGTGCTGCTACTGTAACCAATTTTTAATAATTAAATAATAATATACTGGCTAAAATCTGGTAGCATTTTTTTTTCATTTAAATAAAAAAGTTATTTATATATACTAGTATGTGAAAAAAAAATTCCGAGTAATTTATGTTATTGTACAAATCTATTTACTCTCAATTACTTCAATAGAAAACTGGTTTTAGAACTTCATTAAATAGTACATATTTACATCTTTATTTGCTACTTTGCGAAAACCTTTGTACAAGTCACTAGAGCGTAGTTAGTTTAGTAGAATAGTTTTTATATGATTAAGAATGATAACGAGACTAAGTCGCAAGCTGCGTCGTAATCGCATCGGTGCGTGAATAGGTCGCAACACTTGATACTGGCACTAATCTGTGGTCTCTTCCACATATTACGAGTGCGTTGCGTCATCTTCACTTCGTTGCATGGAAGTACTCAGTCAGCAAAACTGCAATATCATCTAGAAATTGAGTGTGATGTTTGTTTGTATGTTGTAATTAAATGCGTTGCGCTGAAACAGTCATTACATCAAGTGTGAATTGCGCCAGAGGTAAAGATCATTATTTACATTCAAATAAAAACACTTTAACCGTTTAAAACGTGAAAATATATACTAATATACTACTACGCTTGTTTCACTTTGACATTAGAGACATCCTCCATCTTTAGTAGCTCTACTTCAAAGCATCCGAAACGTCGGGCCGAAGTTAAAAATCAATTTCCAATAAGTTTAACTAATATATCGCGTTTTAAACCGTTAAAGTGTTTTATTTAAATACAAATATATAAAATATAACATATAGACATTCCAAATGTTTATCTAATAGTTTTTTGTTACTCGCGATTTGATGCAGTTCCCTAGTTCATCTTGTGTTAGAAAAGACATCAACGCGCACGAATCTAGAACTTACTATTGTATGTTAAATAATCAGTAAAATTTAATAAAACTATTACGAGATTCTTCCATGCACAAACGAATAGAAAAATTACTTTTTATAAAATAGTTTGGTTTTTAAGTGAGAAGTTAAGTTTGCATAACATTGTCAGTGATATTTAGAATTCTTCAAGTAGAGTTAATCCAATTTTACATAAGAAACAGAGATGTCATACTAAGTAGCTACTTAGAATAGAAACATTTGCCGATTACAAAGATATATAGAGAGAAGTTTAACTTCAAATAATCGTTTCTTATGAAATTTTACAATTTAAATAATGTAATAAGGCAAGGTAATTCATCATTTCTTGAATTGCATTTCATACATGCTCTTGATTTGAACTTTAAAAAATTGCTTAACACAGTCTTTAGCCCGAGAGGTTCAAATCCCGGAGAAAGAATAGATAGTTTTGGTAGGGAAGAGCACAAAATTCTGATCAATTACTTGCTTGTAAGTAAAAGTGATCAGTGATACGGATACAGAAATATGTTCACCGTACACCGCAAGGGGGGGAAACAGGATTTTACTCTTCTGGTTTGAACTAGAGTTCCAGCAACTTTAAGTTAAGTAAAGCTTGTTTATCAATTTACGAATTGTCTATAGTTTATTCGATAAACCTACTATACATTAAGTAAAACACCTTTGATGATTTAAGACAACTTTAAGCAATTGTAAAACAGTATAAGTCGGGTCCAAATTAAAACAATATATCAAAAACGACACCAAAAGCTGGACTTGAAAAGGTATTCAAAGCCATATGCGCTCCTGTTGTAACCAATTGAGCTACCATGTCGCTCAATTGGCTATAGCAGCATCTTCGACCATGGATCAAGATTATTAATAACTATAATGACAGCATGTGAATAGGTATAAAGCCTCCATAAGTGTTTAAAAGTTTTAACAAATATAAAACAATGGAAACTGGAAATAAATATTGGCATTTATGAACGTCTATTGTCCTTTTTTAATTTACGTAAGTGTGGATATATTTGAGTCTCTTCTTGTTTAAGAATACACGTTGCCATTTAAATATCTTTCGAAAATTATAAGCTTGCTCTCAGGTTAAATGTCAAAACAAGTTAAGTCATCGATTTAAGTATTTTATTTATCGCTATTCAAGTTACAAAGCTGAAGAGTTTGTTTTGTGGGATGTACTTATTACGGAAAATACTGGTTTATTTAAAAATTAGTTATTAGTTAGAGCACTTGAGGGAGAAGACTATGTTAAAAATATATTGTTACTTGGTAATATTACTCTTTTAATTTGTACAGATGCGAATGTTAAAGATACATTTATGTTTGCGTAAAATAACAATAAAAGTTACAGTTGTTAATTCATTTGGGAAGCAGTGCAATGTTTCAATCGTTTTTATGATAAAGGAAAACAGACAAGCTTAGTTTTATTTAATGTTAATTGAAATACCCCTGCCATGTACCCTTCTTTAACCGAGATGGGCTATCAACCTCTTGGTTCTGGATATTCGGAAATCCACAGATTAAATGCAAAATGCGACTACACTTTACGGCGTTTTTATCTGTTCATGGTGAGGCGAGACCTGGACAGAATATTTCTAGAACCTTTATTTCTAGATTTCCAGAGATAGTCCAACTTGTTACAAGAACAATTGGCAATTGATTAGAAAAATGATGCACACAGTGAGGATCGTACCTAAAACTTATTATAAGCCATATAATGCTACCATGAAACCAACGACCCCGTCAATGTTTAAAAAGTAAAAGACGTAATAAATAGTAGAAGGACACGAAGTATATGTTGTTTTCAAGAAGTATATCAAATTGACACCAATGGCCATAACTCAGTCAATCCTCAGCAGAGATTACGAACAATTTATCTCGTACGCAATTCAACAAATGTCGCAATCGTTAGATGGTCGTAAAATTTAACCAATAACTTACCTAATGCATGTTTTGAAATGATTGCTGCACGTAAGTAGTGCATCACGAGATAAGACGCTCTGTTTCCTCCTCGCTAACCACTGGATTATTTGATGATATATGATTTCAAACCAAGGAATATTGAAAGAAAAAGTGACGCCCCGTTTCCCCTTGCGGGGCAAGAGATCATCGATATATTGATAAATTTAACAGACACGGAAATGTGATTGTCTCTTTTCCCTATATGGGGGTTACACTTTTTTTTTTTTTTTGGAGAATAACTATTACTTCCAAGCAAGTGTTCTTAGCTGCTATAATTTGGGTATTTACTCAGGTAGTTTAAAAATCGAAAATAAATTGACAAAATTTTCGACTCGGGCAGGACTGGATCTAGCAATTGAGCTGTTGAGTCGAAAATTTTTTCAATTTATTTTTGATTTTTAAATTATATAGTGCCTTCATGTACAATAACATATAAAAATTATTAAAAGTTTTCAAAATCACGACGTTTTGTGTTTCACACCATAATAGACAAAGTGTTTTAGGACTTAACCATAGAGAATATTGCATTTTTATATGATTACTTAAATATTGTAAATTGATATTTTTTTTAATCTCACTATCTAGATATGATTGTTAAAATATATTCTTATAACTAATACTTTAGTTAAAACAAGGTAATAAATCAAAAAAGTGAGGGTGTTTACAGAAAAAAAAAAAAAAAACCGCCAAAAAAAAGAAATAATATTAGTGTTCACTAAGTTGCATGCTAAAATATAACAAATTTAAATTCTGCATTGTAACGTGAGCGAAATCACTTTGCATGAGAAGGATTACAAAACTGTTTCGGATTTATGCAATACATTCCTGGCTTCGGACTTTCAAATGTGTTCAAACTATTTAGGAAACCATTTCATTTGCTCTGGGTGTTTTATTGACATATTTCACAAGCGGTTATCCTATGTTTGCTTTTTGTTATAAACGATCGTTTATCGTCATACGTAGCGAAACATATTTTTTTATTTAAATTAATTAGTTTGCGAAATAGACAGAGATATTTCAATAGATCATTTCTCAAATTGCGCATTAATAAGTACTTAATTATGAACTTTGTTTGCTTCAATTACTTAGACAGTGTCGACTAGCATGACGTACATAACCTAAGTATTTCTTGTTTTGTGACGCATGGTCACTAAACAAATAAATATTGGTTTTATAAAAGTATATAGTGCAGAGCTTGATCGACTACTTATTTTTCTACTATATACTTACTTGCCTACCTCTTAATAATATTGATCGGTGATAAGGATACAGATATATTCGCCCCATGCCCCATGCCCCACAGAGAGAAACGTGATTTTTCTATTTATAATAATTTCATCGTATGAATATTATATTAGTATATTTCCTGCTCTGATACATATGGAAGTATTATTTATTTTATTATTATTCTAATAATAATTTTATATTTAATTTAGGTATTTGGAAATATTTTTTTTGGATAAGTATTACTGACCCGGCTTTTATTACTTACCTAGTACTTATTTTCAAACACAAATAATTAAATTCCTAAAAATGATTTATGGGATAATAAAAAACGGTTTGATTTATAACATTTTATTATATCAGCCTCAACATATTATTTGTTACACACACAAATATATAACAAAGCGTAAACATGTAAATAACAGATCATTTCACACACAAGTTGAATACATTTTTCCTTCGTCACCGAATTATTCACGTTATCCCAATAAAAAAGTCAGGAGACAGATATTCGACAATTATAAGATCCTTAAGTTTCCACTTAATAGCTGGTCGTTGTAATAGCTGGATTCAACAAGTTTTCTACTAGATGACTTGAAATATTTTGATAACGAAAAGAGTTCGATCTTAAAATAGCACTACAAATAATGATCACATTTCGACTTAAACTATAAGGTACTGGGTTCAATAAATCAATGCCAGCCGTGATGGTGTTCTTCCTCAGCTTTCAAATGCACTGGAACATGCACCTTCACTGGGTAAGGCACCTCCTTCAGTAGCGGTACTGGCACCTCTTTGTACACTGGGTAGGGCTTGTCAATGGGTACCTTGACTTCATAAGGTACCTTCTTCTCAACCGTGTAAGGGAACTTCTTATATACATCGTAAGGTTTAGGCACTGGGATCTTGACCGGCACTGGGTACGGTTTCTCCACCTCGACCTTGTAGGGTCTGTCCACTGGGACCTTGACTTCGTAGGGGACCGGCTTGTGAACGGTTACTGGGTAGGGCTTTTCAACTGGGACCGGGTAGGGCTTGGGCACGTACACGTGGTAGGGTTTGTCGACTGGCACTTTGACTTCGTAGGGCACCTTCTTCACGACTTCGTAAGGTTGGGGAACTTTGACTTCGTATTTAACTGGGACTGGGAATTTCTTTTCGACGGTGTAGGGCTGAGGTACGGGGACCTTCACTTCGTAGGGTACCTTCTTAATGACCTCGTAGGGCTGGGGCACTTGAACTTTGACTTCGTAAGGCTTGTCTACTGGCACTTTCACTTCGTACGGTACCTTCTTTTCAACTGTGTACGGCTCGGGTACGTATACTGGATATTTGACGTACTCCTTGACAGTTACTGGAACTTTCTTTTCGACAGTGTAGGGCTGTGGGTAGGGTACTTTGACTTCGTAGGGGACTTTCTTCTCAACCGTGTATGGGACGTGTTTCTCGACTGTGTAAGGAACGGGCACTTTCTTGACGACTTCGACGGTTTTGACGTGGTGGTGATGGTGGTCGCTATGTATCGGCTTCCAGGAGTCAGAGCTGCCTCCGAATTCGGAGTGGCCATCGTTAAGACTTAAGTGGCCTTCAAAATCTCCTCCGTAGCCGTGGCTGTCGCCTCCGTAACCACCATGACCGCCATCACCGATCTGATAGCCTCCGTAGGAGCCGGTATCATAGATACCGCGTTTGTCCTGCTTCTTCTCATCTGTTGCTGCTTTGGTGCCCTTCTCCTCACTGGCAAGGGCCACCACGGCCAGTGACGCTACTAAAACAACCTGTGGACGATACAAACGTGACGTTAAATTACAAAGCCCACTACATAGTGCGTATAACAAATTACGTATGGCTCGATAAATTCATTTAAACTCTATCTGCTCTATTCAATTGTAAATTCTTGAATGAAATATAGAAAAAATAAATTAATCATGAATTTTTAAAAGTATTCGGTATTGTAAATATAAAAGATAAAGCGAATAGGAGAAATACATTCTCTTGTCAGTGTTTGTACGCGAAATAATCCAAAACGGCTGAACTTATTTTAATAAAATGTTGTATAAGTATTTGTAAGGCCATTTTTCGCATCTAATATAATGCATAATAAAATGCACTCACAATAAGTTAGTTACTTCTGTCTACCAACATATTGTCTAAAAATAATTTATACGACTCAACAAACTTTACCGGATCGGCTAGTTTCTCTATGATAGATTATTTTCTTCCGGCAACGAAAAGGATTAAATACGAGAAATTCAAACTAGAAAAAACTTATGAAGATAATCGTGGAAACGTTTATAAAATATAACTTTTCCGCCACTTCCGCGTCACATCTAAGCCTTCAAGTCATGTTTCTAGTTAACTGGAATTAGATTCCGCTTTTACTTTTCACCGTGGAACACATAAACCACGGTTAATAGTGAATTCTACACGACATGACTCGGTCCGATCCGGATTTAAATGTATCTCTCTATAAATCGATGCTAGAGCACTTTCTATTTCATTTAAATGCGTTGAAACGTACAATAACATTTACGAACGAACAAAACACGGACGACAAGCTCTTTGGTGTAGTGGTAGCGATGTATAATCCAAATCCCCGGTTCGTGGGTTCGAACCCTGCCGGTTATTCTAAGTTTTCTCATTAATTTAGAATTCTTCTGGAAACTGGACTTCGTCTGGAAATCTGGATATTAAATGGGTGGTAGGAATATCGAAATTTCAGTCCGGGTCACCTTCGTCCATAATTGAGAAAACTGTCGAATCGAATGAAATCCGAATATCCAAAGCCAAGATTGGTCAAACCGCTTTGTTTGGATGGAGGTATACGGGGGTTTTTCCCCCCGGAAAAGTGCCCCCCATGCTTGCCTGTCTCCAAGTGGAGTAACAACGCATAGTTAATAATTAAAACCTATTTTCCCTATGTAGGGTTTACTCTTGACACATATTGTTTAGTAGAAGATAGACATTTGTGCCTCGCCGACCGAAGTTGAAGCTACAAGGGATTCGACTTAAGCAGACGACCTACTCATATAATAACAAAAAAACTTCCCAAGCGTCGGACAGTAGTCTTACATATCGCGTTTCAAACTGTTTTATAAAAAATATTTTATTTAATATTAACCTCTCCAAAGGTTTATTATGTCGAGCAAAACTATAGCAATAATGTACATGCGATAAGATCTACACGCTTAGTCGGACCGTTTTAAATGAAATATTGCATAATTTTCTATCAAACTATTGTATATTAAGGTCAAATTAGAATGTATAATTTATGCGGAGAATTTTCATTGGCTATATTGTATACTGATATTTCATTTATAAATATCGTTTTGTTCGTCTTTGTATTGTTTTAACCTATTAAATACGTCCTACAACTGGGCAAAGTCAATGCATAGGTGAAGGTTGTAAAGGCTCAGACCCACCACTCCACTATGGGCAGGCTCTAACGACTACCGCTACAACATAGGTGGTAAATACTGGAAATCAATTTAAACCGGAATGTACCATGTTTTTATAAGAATAGCAAAGCAATATTTAGCCCAGCCAGGACGCGAATTCAAGAACTGTAAAAATGCAGTTAAACGCACTAACCAATAGACCAACGAGCTATGTTATGTAAAGCAAATATGGTACACACACCCTTCATTTTAATCAGACAATACTTCATCCGAATGATACTACTGTGATGTGAACCTAGGGCCTTCCAACGTCATAATAAATAAGCAATATTCCAAAACCTATTGCGTAGACTACATTAATTACATACGTTACGTCGGTGCAATTTTATAGAAATCGTGGAAAGTTTGAGAACTATTAATATTGCTGAGTTGAAAACAACACACTGTTCTGTGAGAACGCTTGATTGATACAATTAACTCTATGCTAATCAACACGAATTAGTAAAAACTAAGCTGCCCGCGCTTTTGCATTAGCTTGAGTTAATAAGCTATTATGAATATCATTTTAAAATTGTACTACTACAATATTTCAACATTTATTCTAATTTAGATATGAAATATGAAGGTATTTAAAAATCTACCTCTACTGATGGCCTAATTCGCATTTCGGTAAAATAGACAGAAGTCTAGTAGGTCTACGACATAGAAATCTCAATAACTATATCTTCCTACAAAGGTGGATATTTTATGTATAGATAGAGAATTTGATATTTTATGTATATGAAAAATGAATACTCGAAAACATACATTTCGTTATAAACATTTTGAAATTTCAAGACATTATATTACTACGTACAGCTAAGTACATAATGAATGTATTGTATAGCGTTAAGTTAATAATTTAAAATTCGACGTAACCTTTTAGTTACACGTTACATAAATTTAATTATTATAACATACGTGCTTTAGAGTTGTTATGGTACAAAATGTTGCCATTAACGTCATTCAACCTGATTACGCGGGAAAAGTGAAAAACTGCGCCTTAAACCACAAATGTGGTGCAGACAAGGCAACACAGATTTCTGGTATGAAATCCTGGTACTTTTTCAGTAGTAGATCGAACTTCTTTGTTCTACTGAACGACAACAATTTATCGTTCCATCGAGATCTGATCCACCACCATTCAATCTTAATGCTAGTCAACTTTTAAACCATTGAGCAATATATAAATACATAAAATTAAACTTTTAACAAGAGTGACGCCCTCTATCGTCATTTGAAAAAACTTACTATTGACTAGGGTTAAAGTTTCTCGGTATTTGATTTAAAGATTCTTGGAATTTATTATATTTACGTTTTTAAAGACAAAACTTAAACAAACTTAGTATTATATAAGATTATATTTTTATACATTTAATCGATATTGACTGATCAATTATAAATATTGATCGGTCACTCAAACCGTGTTTTATCCATAACAACAGAGACATCTTTAAAAGATCAAATAGTTATTGAAAATGGACTTCGTATGAGCGAGTGATAGAAACATAAGCTACCCCTCAAAACGTTATTTTACCGTAAAAGTCACTTGGAATAAATTGTCACGGAACAAGTTACCGGTATCGAGGGGGTCGAAAATTAATTTGTTTAGGGGGGTGAATCGTATTGTTATATAATATTGCAAAATAGAAAACCGGTTTGAAACCCTTGACACTTGCTGGTATATGCAAACAAATTTTAATTAACTGCGGTCAAGCCATTTCGTAGGTAAGCCTAGCATTGTGAGGCGAGAATTAAAATGAGCTGAGCTTGTGCACGCAAGCCCACCTGACTTCCTATCACTTAATATAACTAGTTATTAAATATTGCTACGTCTTTGATAATACATTACGGCGTGGGCTATTGAACACAAATCGATATTAATCCACTTGTCACGCTCGATATAACCCACAGATTATCCTTAGTTCGTAATTCGATAAATTATGAAAGACTCTCTTGAAGCTAAGAATAAACCATACACTACGTCAAGTTACATATCGTTATTATATAAAACTGCATATAAATTAAAATATATATCGTTGGTATGGGAAGGAGTCGAAGCCACGACCTTAGCGTTAAGAGCAGAAAAGGCTCGGATTTTTTTCGAACTGGAATGCATTTTTAATTAATTGTCGAATCTTATGAATAAGTACATCTGTGATTATTATGAAGGATTTAGATTAAATTCAAGAGAAAAATATAAAAGGACAAAAGAAAGTAGAAAAGTAGAATAGCTAAACTTATATTAAGTGGACGTACACATATCTGTGTCCGTCCGTTGCAATGGAGATTTCACTATTTTGGCGTTAGAATAAAAGTTATGTTGATTTTAAATGTTAATCTTTGTAATACTGTGCCATAATATTGTTGTATAATCCTTTGTTAAGGTTTATGTCAAAAGCTCAGTTGTAACCAGCGAAAGTGAAAAGGAAATTACTCTAAAACATTGTTTATGCAGCTTAGGAAAATTAGCTATTCAATCTGCGTGATTAGCTAAATCGCTCTGTAACAGCTCAATACATCGTGGGAAAATAGGTTTAACAGAATTTAAAATTGTTTTTTTCAACTTTGTTGAATGTATGCTAAACTTATTACTTTAATAATACTGTACATTAAAAATTATATGGTAAAAATCACGACATTAATATAAACAATTGAAAAATGTATATCTTGTAAGGACATTTTAATGCAAAAATTTAAAGGGCATTTTTCTAATGTACTTTTCCATAAGAATCCGATCTTATACCTATCCTACCTGCGTATAATTAATTCATATTTGGAACATAAAAAAGTACCTAAAGAATTTAAAACTTTTTTTATAAAATTTACGTATTTTTCAAAAATCCGTTTTAAACAAAAAACCGCAAGGCACAGTCAGCCACAATCCGTGTCCGCAAATCAAATCTCACTTCACACACTGCACTTTACTTTACTCACCGTGAATTTCATGTTGCTGTCTTCGTCGACGAAGACCGGTTGGTGCTGGTGACTTCACATGTCCACACTTTATACTGTCCCCCCCGCTTCGCGGTAGAAGGGTGAACGCTTGGTCATTATTCTATTAATTGTTTACTCATTTCAAGAATTAGAGCGATCTTTACTTTATTTTCATTCGTTTCAATACATTTTGTATAAAACGGGTTTGAAAAACTTTAATATTTTTCACATGTTATTGCACATGAAAGCACTACATAATTTAAAAATCAAAAATAAATTTAAAAAAACATTTCAACGTTCGTGAGCGTTCCGTGCTGTTGCTCTGGAGTCGAACATTTTTCATTTTTTTGTCCTATTCATAAATTACGGGTTATTTAAATTCGAAAATTAATAATCTATTTCAAAATAAAATAAAATCGATAACACGCGCGGGACTTGAATCCGTATCCACAGAGATACATTTCTGAAGAAACTATTTCTGGAACTGAAACGGGACGCTTTACTGTCTTTAGAGTTGTCTCAAGTTTCAAGCTCAATATATTATAGATTACTTGCTAAGTTGGTCACTGCACACTCTTTTCCTCAAAGTATTGCAATATTTAATTTATTATTATATAAATATATAATAACGTATGAGATAATAAAAACCGCAAGCAATTAGCCAATCTCTTCTCGAATTACATCTTATATCTTAAAGCACATTCTATTTCAATTATGCTTAACGTAGGTTTAATAATAGAAAACCTTATAAAGTTTATAATTGTATTTACTTAAAGGGAAAATTGACGACATAATTATTTGACATACCCTTATTTCTCAACCTACCCTCCCGAGAGGCAGTAGGAAATATATATAGCTATGTCATTGTGTGTGATTATTTACACATAACACGATGATAAGCTTTTGTGCCATCTTCGACCGAAGAGAAACCCAACCTCCGTAGAAGTATGGATAATCATTGTCATTGAATTCGAAATAATATTAAATTTATGATCCATGATCTTTTTGACCAGAATTGTTGGATTCTTCTGAGGTACATTACGTCATTAAGCTTCATTCCCACAAGCTGCATACAAATTACAGCTTGGTACCTAAATAAAACAATCTCTATTTAGATACATCATAATTACAATACAGGGCCAACCATTTTAATTAATAATTCGATTTTTTTCTTTACTAGCTGTGCCAGCGACTTCGTCCACGAGAATCGTTATTTTGGGTATCCAAATTAGTTTTTGCAAACCCCGTCATCCTTCAGCTGATAGCTACGACGTCGATCGCATCCCTTCCCGTCGCTCTTGCAAACAAACTCTTTAGCTTTATATATTAGTATAGATATGTATAAAAATGCAAAACCATATGATGGTTATTAACATATTTTCCAATACCCTATAATATATTTTTGAAAAGATATTAAACGGAATAGATATTAAGTTGAAAACAATAAACTGTTTGAAACGAATATTAGTCTCTTCATGAACACGGCTGCTGCAATGTGTCCAAACGGATATACAAAATCTCTAATTGCTTTTAAACTATTAGAAATGTTTACCTGAACTTAACTAAGAAGGTATAAGTGTAACTTTAATATTATTTAATAGTAGGTACACTAACTATAAAATATTTTGCAATCTTTTACATTCATTTAAATATATTATTAAAACGTATTCTGATTAACAAATAAGTTTGTTACGATAGTTAAAAAGGTTATTAATACAAAATGAATAAAACATGTCTGAAGTACATACTCGTATAGCTACATAATTACATTACATAATAAAATATTAGCAGATACGTGTTACTGAAATAAAAACGGCTACGACATATTACGATACATTTAAAAGGGTTCCGTAGATATAGTTAGTTATGTTTTTAAATTAATGTAATTTAATATAAAAAGAATGGAAAACCAATCAATAATACAATTTATTACATAGAATAAACTAATGCTGAAGTACAAGAGGTTTTGTGTCAAACCTTCGACCTAATAATATACATAATTTTCAAAATGCACATAAGACCTTTATCATTTGAAAAAATTATTAATGACACCGAAAGCAATCTTTTTTTATGAAGTCCCGTTTCCCCTCGTGGGGCATGGGGCGAACACATTTCTATGTCCGTTTCACTGATCGGTTTTATTTACAGGCAAGTAGTTGATAAGACTTCTGTGCCCTGCCCGACCGAAACAATTTACTGTTTCCCCAGGATTTCGAACCTAGGACCTCTCGCCTAACGCATGCTAGGCAACACGTTTAACCATTTAGCTACGGAGCCGAAAGTTTAAATTGTTCACTATGACTGTTGTCTGGAAGAAAACGCTTTTTAGCGACTGCTTCCTCCTTTTTTGGATTCCTTCAAATTAAATCTTATTTTGTTATATACTTGTGGTGTAAATAAAGTAATTTTGCTTGTTTGTTTGCAAATTTTGTCATTAAGTTAGGTTAAAAGAGTTCATAGAGATACCTTGCGAAGACAGATCATTCCATTGTTCTTGCATGCGAAATTGACATTTTCACTTTTCCATTGATATGTTCTAATATTGTTCTATTTCTGTGTGTTTTTTTATAGTTAGAAAGTCGAGTTTTATAGAGTGTTCTTAGTAAATCTTTTACGAGAGAAGCTGTGGACAAACAGGTGCTAACTAATAATTTTTTAATGTTAGAGGACAGACAAAGATGGGAATTTG